CCTCTACCCAAACAGGCTAAACCATCAACAATTCTGACATGCACACACATGTACCTTATGTGATGAGCAACTCACACACGTACTTCCAACAGCCTCACTGAACCACAAAACCTGCTGCCTGACAAGACCAGCAGATTCACTTGCAAAGGGAAACAGATCCATCACTTTGTCTGGAACAGCACCTTTGCAGAATACACTGTTGTGCCCGACTACACCCTGGCCAAGATAGATGCTGCTGCACCTCTGGACAAAGTCTGCTTGCTTGCCTGTGGTTTTCCCACTGGCTATGGGGCTGCCATCAACGTTGCCAAGGTAGGTATTCAGACATGTCAAAATTAAGCATCCCACAGCCATTTTCACATCCTCAAAAAAGCAACAGAAACTTCCTCCTCACCCATGAGACTAATCCAGCCCCACGTCATGCAGGTAAAACCAGGCTCCACCTGTGCTGTCTTTGGCCTCGGAGGAGTCGGCCTCTCTGTTGTCATGGGCTGCAAGGCAGCTGGAGCATCCCGCATCATTGCCATCGATATCAACGAGGACAAGTTTGCCAGGGCCAAAGAGATGGGAGCCACCGAGTGCATCAACCCTAAAGACTTCAAGAAGCCTATCCAGCAGGTGCTCACCGAGATGACTGGTCACGGCGTGGACTGCTCCTTTGAGGCTGTTGGGACCGCAGATACCCTGGTATGTGACATTTTAGCACGTCCTCCTTCCCAGAATCCCATCAGACAAATTCCATCACATATGCCTGCACTTCAGGCCATTCTGCTTGGGGAGAAACGATTCAGGAGTGTAACAGCAGGAATGGAGCTTTCCAAGGCTGGTGCAGAAAACAGCCTCCATTATTGGGTACCAGGGAGGCACAAACCTGCAAGGAAAGAATGCATTTATTACAAACTCAGCTAGTGTGCTTGCCTGTCCCACCAGATTGCCGCCCTGGCCTCTTGCAATATGAACACTGGAGTCTGTGTCTTGATTGGAATACCACCTGCTGGTTCAACAATTCCCATTGATCCATTCCTTCTACTAAGTGGGCGCACCTGTAAAGGGACTCTGCTTGGAGGTAGGAAGCCCAAAAAGACATTTTAGACATTTCAGCCTTCTCCTTCACGGGAATTCCCAAAAGTCTCTGGAACAAATATGCTCCAGGACATACACAGTGCTTTCACATACATAGTGCTTTCCTTCACAATGCAAATTACATAGTCCAGCACTGTACTCCATACAAGAGCAAAAGGAAATCTCTCTCATAGTTGTAACCCACCAGGCTCGAAGGAACTGTGAATACTTCAAGCTTGGCAGCGTCCCAGAAGTTCTTTGTAGGAGGCTGCTGATGTTAAATCTACAAGTGAAAATGAACACTGAAGTTCCACCTCACAAAATAATCGAATCATAGAATACACTGTGTTTGAAGGCACCTAACCAAGCACGTAACAACAATATATCTAAAATATTTTATCAACTTCCTGACCCTCTTGAAAGATTCGGCACCGAGCAACTCCACCAAGGGTTCTGTACCAAATCAGCATTTCTCCAGTTATTCACTGCATGCCATTTCTCCCATTTCCAGGCTGGAAAATGAGAGACTCTATCCCCAAATTAGTTGCCAGCTATTTGGAGAAGAAATTTAACTCCGACTTGCTGATCACACACACGCTGCCATTTGCTGAAATCAACGAGGGATTTGAATTGCTACGTGCAGGCAAAAGGTGAGATTCTGATTCGAACCAACAGGAGTGATGCACAGCAGCTCCTGAAGCGGCACTTTTGTCAGCTCGCAGGCTCTGCCAGTAGCACCACTTGTAACTCCTCCCTTCCTTTCTTCCCTCTCCAGCATTCGCAGCGTGCTGCTCTTCTGAAGGATGTGATCAGGACAGCACGAGTGCAGCACACAGCCCAGCAGATGCCCTCCTGTGCGGGCCCTTCCCTCCCACATCGCCCTTCATGGACTGTAAAGACAGAAGCACAAGGAACCTGTCAGCTGTGCTGCTGCTGCCAGCGCTCCTGAGCCCATCCTCTCCTGAGAAAGCAGTTATATAAATAAAGGCTCTCTTACAAACTCTTCCCGTGGAGTGCTGTGAAACAAAAGGTGCTGATGTTTCTGACCCGCACACTTTGCCATTCTTTGCACACTTGCACACCAAACACCTTGTGCACTTCTGCACATGCACTTCCACCTCGGCCACCATCTCAGCTGGCTGAATGCTGTAACACAGACCAAGGGACAGAGCACCCGCACTGCTGCCAGTCTTTCATCTCTCAGGATCACATGTTGTGTGTTTCATTCATTCCACGACGTCATTCGCTGACACAGCCCATCATTCCAAACTTTCATTTCAGCACCAGCTTCTTCTCATTGCACCACAGCGTCCTACTCTCTCAATTTTCTCTCCTTCACAGAATCGCAGAGGCTTGGGGGTTGGAAGGAACCCTTGCAGACCATCTAGTCCTACCCGCCTGCTAGAGCAGGTCCCCTTGACTAGACTATACAGGAAAGCGTCCAGACAGCTTTTGAGTATCTCCAGAGCAGGACGCTCCACATCCTCACTGCGCAGTTTGTTCCAGTGCTCAGTAAACCCTCTAAGGAAGGAAGATTTTCCTCATGCTTCTGCGGATCTTTCTGCGTTTCACTCTGTGCCATTCACGCTTGGCCACTTGCTGAACTCCACTGAAAAGAGCCTGGCTCCATCCACATGACTCCTGCCCGCCACATATTTATAAGCACTGATAAGGTCCCCTCAGTCTTCTCCTCTCCAGGCTGAATGGTTCCCAGTCTCTCAGGCTTTCCTCTTAAAGGAGGTATTCCAGGCCGCTCATCCTCTTTGCAGCCCTCCAATGGAGTCTCTCAAGAAATTCCCTGCTTTTCTTGAACTGGGGATGGTACTCCATAGGTGGCATCACCAGAGCAGAGTACTGAGTCAGGATAACTTCCCTCAGCCTGCTGTGGGCTCCACTCCTTTTAATTCATCCCACAGTAGCATTGGCCTTCCTGGCCACAAAAGCACACTACTGGCTCCATGGTTCGTAGCGCTGCACAGTGCCATGGATTTCTGTGTCTCACTCTGCCCCTCCCTCAGTTTTAGCTCACAGAGTAGAAAGGCTCCTTCCCTGAGTGGGGAGGTACCAGCCCAGAACAAGTTGCTCCACTCAGAGTTTACCTTCACAGCCACTGGTTACAGGAAGAACTCCTGTAAAATTCCTCTAGAAATCCTCTAAACCTCCTGTGAAACAGCTCTAATGTTTTTGGTTTTGTTTTTTCTTCCTGCAACTTTCTTTTAAAGGTTTTGAGCTTTCAGTAACTCTACTTTCTTTTTTTTCCTTTCATTCTTTTCTTTTTCTTTTAGTAAATTCATTTTTATGAGATTCTATTAAACAAGAAGAAGTGTTCCTAACCCTTATCTGTAAATTGAAAGTGACTGTGGCGAAAGAGGGGACAAGAAAAAGACTGCAAAAAATCAAACTAAGAATCTTATGGCTTTTGTAATCAATTTGAAATCAAGAAACTGGAACAGGAGCTATTTCTATTCAACCACCTCACTACAAAGCCTGTTCCTACGTCTGATCACACAGAAGAAAAACAATTTCTTACTACCTAGCCTGAACTGCCACTAGTACAGCTCAGTACCATTCCAGTGCATCCCATCAGCTGCCAAAACAAATACGGAATCTTGCTGCTTTCTGCAACCTG